AAAATTTTACAGTTTGAAAAACAAAGTTAACTTGAAATCTTTAACCTTCCATTTTAAATCCAGGACATATTCCTTATAAGCTAGTTTCTTCAAACAGTATTGAAGCAAAGTATAACCAAAAAAATTCAAATGAAGAATTACTGACAGCTGTTTCTTTATATTTTCAGGCCTACAACATCGAGCAATTCTTAGTTTAACCCCTTTTGGACTTCCTCTAGAATTCTCCATTCTACCAGAGAAGTTAAAAGAAGTAGGTAGGTTGAGTATCTAAATTATGTTACATTTAATCCTTTAACTCCCAAGATCTGATTTCTAATTCCCCCTCCAGCTGCTGCACATTTCCTTCGAAATTAGTTACAAGAATTTGGTGTAACTGTACTTGTAGATCAAGATAGCAACATCTGCCTGAAAACTTTTAATATTCTCATTACCTGTTTACAAGATAATGTATAGATATTATAGGGAGAAATTACATGTTATCACTTCTTGGAGTTAATGGGCAAAGGCTTCAAAATTGACTTGTAGTATGAACCAACTTTAATGTACATAAAAACCCAAAACCACTCACAGAGTCAGAAAATATAAATGCCCCCCATTTCAAGGAATTTGTATGCATACTTCTTATAATTACTATAGCTGTTGTAAAATAGAAACATTATTTGATTGCTGATTGCTAATTATAAAACCAAGATTGATATATAAAAGTAAAATTAAAGAGCTATATAAATGAATAAAAATAACTATATATTAATAAACAACCATGTATTTATAAACTAAAATTATGCAGATTCTAAGTCTGCAGCATGTCACTTAGAGAGTTCTTTGCACAAAGTATTTTAATTGCACGGAGTATTTTAATTGTGGTATACAAGAATAGCACTGACAAATTTGCTGGAGAAATTCTCTAGTACAAGCATATTCAAGTTGCAAGGCTAAATCGTCACAAGCATTGAACACATTTATGTACATGCACAAATATTTTTACCTGAGCAGGAAGTATTGAAATTTTGTCTCCGTGCTTTCACTTAAATCAATGAATTATGTAGTACTCAAGAATTTCCAAGATTCCATCAAAATCCCTCAGTAGTGCCCTTACAAGCTTCTTTATTATGTAATAAAAGTATCAATCAGTTCATACTGATCTCTGCTTCAAAAAGCTAATTGGATTGAGGTTGGATAATTAAATAACCTTTGGTCAGGGAAGTGTTTCAATCTGACAATTTCAAAAGGCAAAAACAGATAAAATGCTTGGTAGAGTGCAAGCTCCTGGCTCCAAAAGGAAAAAATATATATTTTAAAGATGCTGCATGCAACATACCTGGGTTAATTTTCACTAGATTTAAAGGTCTGGAAGGCTGACCTAAAGGAAAGGTTGATTGTTGGTTAAAAAAAAAAATTATAATACTTTAAGACAGAATTTCTCCTTACAATATCAATACAATATCAAGTAGACAAGTGATGAGAATCATAGGAAAGAAAATATTATTTAGGGGATTAATAGTTGATCCAGTACCAAATTCTCCAAACTAACACTACAACAACTATATGGCAGAAAGTGAGGAGAATTACAAATGAGATCGTGGGAGTTAAAGGTAAAAGCGACAAGTGAGAAAATACCCCATTATGGCTCTGATACCTCAGTTGACCCCTGATTACTCAATTCTCCATTTTATTAATTCATTTCAACATATTATGTTGCCATCATTTTCTCCATTTTAACAAATTACTTTCCACCTTAATTCTATACTAATTATTTTCATGAATTCATTTCATTTTATTATGTTGCCATTTTCAGGTTACAAAACACATCTTGTTGGAAAATGGCATTTAGGTCACTATACATCTGTGAGTACTCCAACACACAGAGGCTTTGATTCCTTCTTTGGATTCTACAACTATGGACACGACCACTTCAACCACACCCATGATGGCTTTTTAGACCTCTTTGAGGGTGAAAAAGTTGCCAGAGGGTACAAAGGACAATACACTTCCCACCTTTATGTGCAGGTGATTTGGAATAAGATTACTGTCTTAGTAAATTAATGCTGGCACATAGCTTGTCTTTTTTTCACCAGTTAAGCCCTTTAGCTCACTTTGAAGGAATCAGGTGAGGGACTGGGCACTGAGTCATATGTGTGTGACAGGTAGTGCAAGAAATCCCATTATGTTCTCAGCTATTTCTGGAATTTAAAACCATATGAAAGAAAGCTAAATGGCTTTTTGGTCTAGAGTTTAAGTTTTTTCTCCCTGAATCAAACCTCAACATTTTGTGTAGGAAGTCGAGAGAATTGTTGAAGAGCATAATTCTTCCAAGCCGTTGTTCTTATATATGGCATTTGAGAATGTCCACGACCCAATTCAGGCACCTGAAAAATACCTGAACAAATACAGCTTCATCAAAGATAGGGATAGGCGAACTTATGCGGCCATGATGGATGTGGTGGATGAAGCCATTGGAAATATAACACAGGCTTTTAGAGAGAAAGGGTGAGGGCTTTTTTTATCGCTACCTACTGACAACTTTTGTGGTTTGGTTTGGGAAATATTGAAACATTACTGTATAATGAGATCGTCCTGAGTAACTATTTGACCTCTAAGAATGATTAGCATCTAATTTCTCTATATCCCTTGTATTAAAGAGAATAAAGGAAATGAACACCAACTAAAGAAGTTCTTGATTGTCAAACAAATTCTCCCTGTTAGCATCTTGCTTAGGAAATGTATGGAAAACAGTATGGAGAATATATATACTGATGTTAGGGTGGAAATGGTTAATATTATGTTGATAAATATCAAGAAAATAGATGCAAATATTTAATCATGCACAATCAACTTGGAGATAAAGGAGTATTTACATATTTTATTACTATACTTTGTCAGTTTTCCTTGTTGTTGTTTACATCATCTTCATTGTGATTTTTCAATGTGGACTAATGTCGGCACCCAGAGACTAAAACTAAAAATCATAGGTTCATATGAAATTTTTCATGTTTCTCTTCATCTTTGGAGATCCCTAGGAAAATACTTGGGAGAGAGAAAACCTCAACAGCGGTCTCTGTTCAGTGCAGACATCCATCAGATAAACTTTCGCATTGAATTAAAACCATCATTGTGTGCTCCCCTGGGTCTTTGAGGACATGGCCTCTTTTGTGATTTCACTCCTTTCCTTCTCCCCCCCCCCCCCCCCCCCCCCCCCCCACAACACCACAACACGTTGTGTCAGAAAGACGCTCCCATTTGGGAAGAGGCTTTGCGTGAAAACCCAAAGAACAAATGCAAGGTATTAAAACTGGGTGAGATGGGGAAATTTAATGCCACTGAGAAGTTACATCTTTTTTTCAGAAGGTCATTTGGTTTGGGATGGTCTGGAAGGGATATCTTTGTTAAATAGGCGCCATCATCCTCATATTGATCCTAATTACTGTTAGTTACTGCTCTTTTTATTGACTCCTCTAGGTTGTGGAATGATACTCTTGTGATCTTTAGCTCGGACAACGGTGGAGACCCTTTCTACCGCGGCTTCAACTACCCCCTGCGTGGATACAAGAAGACGTTGTGGGAGGGTGGCGTGAAAGCGTGCGGTTTTGTTCATGGTCAGATGCTAAAACGGAAGGGGGTGATCTCACGTGATCTCATTCACGTAACTGATTGGTATCCGACTCTTGTTAACCTAGCAGGTACTACAGACATAGTTATTTCCGTTTTCTTGAACTGAAAAGGGCGTCCTTGAAGGCTAGCGCTTACTTACGATGTGAGTGAAGTTCGAAATCACTGCCAAGGATTGTCACGCTAAGCTGTTCCTTAGGGGGACCTTTTTTTTTTTTCTGAGTGGGTGTTTCTTGAAATCCTAGAACCCGCAAGGGAACACCGATGAACGTAATTGGGGACGATTACAGAGGATACATGTTAGGTCTTTCAAAAAATCGCGAGACTGAAGAGTTGTCCAATCACATTCGATGGACATTTCTAGAAGAAGACATTTTTAGACATTTCAGAAGGTTTTACTTGGTTATTTTGGTGAGGTGTTAATTTCCACGCTAACGTTAGGTTTTGCAGCGATGGAATAGTTAACTTGATCAAATTGAACGTAACTGGCATATAAATGTACTCACTTCAATACCATTGAAGATACGTTTTAAAATGCACTGGTTTCTGTCTTTTGAGTGGGTTACATGTTGGGATATTTTTCAGATACTCAGTAGTAATGTTGTTGTTCTATTTGTTGTTTTTTTTGTTTTCTTTTTTGTCGGGTAAAGGACGGCCAGAACTTGGCCGAAATTTAACTCACAAACACATATACAGTTCCTACTGTCTTTGCTAATCCTACGTTTGGAGACGGTTTGAATGCCTAAGCACAGTCATGGTAACTTGCTAGTGTTGTTTTGTAGGTGCCACATTGGATTCAAACCCTATGCCAGTGGATGGCTTTGATGTATGGGAAACCATTTCTAGTGGAACACCTTCACCCAGGACAGAGCTTCTCCATAATATTGACTTTCCTGAGAAAAGACCAGGGCTTTTATTGACATATGACACATGGTACAGCGGAGCAGCAATTCGTGTTGGTGACATGAAGTTATTGATGCATGTACCCAATGCCACTTGGTACCAGGTTCCAGAAGAAGGTGGAATCGCTCCAGACATGGAAGAAATCTGGGTAATGGGTTTTCCTTGTTCTTATCTTCTTGCTCAAACGTATTCCATGTCGTAGTCGTCGACTTTTCCTTGTTTGTTTGACTGAGTTTTCTTGGAAGTGATCAAAATTCCCCATGCGCGCTCCCAGCAAACCAGACCCTTGATCTTCTGTTACGATTTATGTTTTCACACACCAGGGAGGGTGTTCGGTTATTTTGGTAAATACTCTACCCGCACGGTACCCCTTTTCAAACGAAAGTTTTGAATCTGAGAAGCAGCAGAATGCGAGAAAATATTTTAGACGAACGATAACTTTTTTTTTTTTAATTTTAGGATCAAAAAACAAACATCGTAGAACTGGCCCTATATAACATAACCGCTGATCCTACAGAACGTTACGACGTAAGCCATAAGTATCCTAACATTGTGCGACACCTGAAAGATCGAATACATGAACACTGGAAGACCGCTGTCCCACCGGGGATCGTTCCGGACGATATAATGGCTTTAGCTGTAGCCATAAAAAATAAAGCGTGGGTATCATGGAGAGACACTTGCAATGCCAAATAAGGGTATAGATATTTCTTCAAAATGCCCACCTCTAATAGAAATCGGTCAATTTTTGTCGGCGCAAAGATTTCCCATCAATCTCAAAATAAAACGTTCTTAAAGGCTTTAAAATGTTTTGGTCGAGAAAAAGAAATGTTGGTCTTTTTCTTTCCATCTATACCACCAGACGTACAAACTCAAATATCGCTAATTTTAAACTGCCATTTCTCTAAAGGTTACCCATTACTGACTAATATTGCCGAACAATTAAAGGTTTTGGGTCTGGTCAAAACGTTCTGATCTGGAAAGTTCGCCATCCAAACTGTATTTCGTTGAAATGTTCAGTAAACGACTCGAAGGATGGTGAACCTGCAAAAGCACTGGCTAATTGGCTAAGCGTGAGGTCAAAATGGATGGATATTAGCCTAGTTCTTTTTTTTTTTTTTCATGGACTTCGACGAACGCCAGAAAAGAACGGGACTAATCATCTTAACAGAACAAGCTCGGTTAGTAAAGGATTTATCACGTAGCAAAAGGATCATCCGCTTTGCTTATTTCGAGAGACAGGAAACAAAGCCAACTGTTCTATGCAGCAGAATTACTCCACGAAAGTCCTTTATGTTTTCTTTGTTTTGACTGTCTTCCGCAACTTCTTGCGACTTTATCGCTGACGTGTCCAAAAATTAGTTAATTTTCTCTTGCGAGGTATCAAAGAAAAAAACATATTTTAGGCCTTATTCTCACTATTACTTAAAGTAGTGTTCATAACTGCGAGGATCGTTTCCTTATTCGTTTCTTCAACCGCAGTTTATAGATATGATTTTCATAGATTCACAGTCATGTATTCACCACTTCAAGGGTCTATTTGGAATTAACATAATGGCCAACTTCCCAGTTGGCTTATTAGCGCCTCCTGTAGAGCGCTGCACCAGTATCACAGAGGTCATGGGTTAAAATCTTGTATAAGCCTGAGTTTTTTTTTTAGGCCTTGTTCTCACTACTCTTTATGTAGTGTTCTTAACTGTGAGGATTGCTTCCATATTCGTTTCTTCAACCGCAGTTCACATATATGATTTTCATATATTTACAGTCATTTACGGGTTTCACCTTGTTGTGTAAGACCGCTGGTGAATGAATGGAGGCTTGGGTACAAGGCTAACCGTTATGTTTATTCGCTGTGAAACATTGCATGACGTAATATATATTTATTTAGTTGGTTGGTCAATAAAAACGAGTCAGTATAGTGGTAGTCTGCCGCCTTTATCATCTGGAGCTGTCGTTAAGGTTAATCAAAGTAAGTACCAGTGATGTAAGTTTGCCTGTTTCTTTAACCTAAGACATTGGAAGTAATTTGAGCCAAACAGTGTCAGGTTTTAGATTTGCATATTTGACATGAGCTCAATATACAAATATTCTATGCTATTTTCTTAATTACCTGCAAAACGAAAACTGCATTGTTACGTTATCGATGCATCCTGGATAAAATTGGCATATTAGGATTCGATAGAGACCTGTGCATACGTTAATACTTTTCAAAATCAATTTGGGAGACTAATGTCATTAAAATCAAACTACTACTAAACGCTTTGCCTCCAGACCAGCTGTTAACGCCTGTTGAAGAATCGGTGAAACAGTGAACTCTCAAGAATTGCGTCTAATATGGAGTCCTTAGCCTTGATCATTGATTTTATTAAGTCAAACTTCAAACAAACCAAAGGATAAAGGCCTTTTGCCGTTAGATTAAGTCATACGTGAATAAACTGGTTCAGTGGGGTTATTTTGTTTTCTCACTGTATTCGATGACCGTGAAACATTCACAACGTAAAGCAAACATTGCAAAAGTGGGCATTGAAATGCAAACGGAAGGTTTCAAATGAACGTGACATTAGCTGCCAGTAGGTTAGGTAAATGAACATGATGAACCCTCATTGACAGAGCTAGATAACACTTGAGGCAATTTACATAAGTCGACTTCGTTCATTTGTTTACAAAGGCGTTCAAAGACATTTTATCTAGTCACCCGTACAGTCACGCAAACGTACGAAATCGACCTATCTAATCCACCATGTCTGCTTTTATCTTAGAGGATTTGTCAAGATTAGGGTTTCAGAGGCTTTTATTTGTTAAACTTGTTGTTCAGTAATGTTGTCATGCTGTTATGGTTGAAAGAGCACATTGTACTTGGTGACTTTTCCGTCACCATAGCAAACTGCTTTGTTGTGGGACGTGGGAAGCAGCAACCTGTGCTAAGAAAATAAAAACAATGATAAATTAGCCTTTTAGAAAACCGACCCACATCTTGTCAAAGGAATTTTCCAAATGAACATGTCATCCAATGGATAACGTAGTGAGTTTTCCCTCGAGAGTTGTCAACGCTTGAATTAAGCTAAAAAGGAATGAACACAAACTCGAATTGACTGATACTAGGGTTGGTTTTAGTTCCACAGTTACGTGACCTAAATTATATTAAAACAAAAAAGGGATGAAATGTTGTCGTTTGTATAGTAGTAGATAACCGATGACGTCAAAATGTGGTAGGAACAAAAAAAGTGGCAGACGGCTTGATGAAATTTATTTGTTTTATGTGACTAAAAACAAGAATTGTGACGTCAGCTATGCGTGTTTCCTCCAATGGATCAAAACTTAAGGACCACGTACAGTGCGTGAACAATTCAGCTAATCATATAAATTAATTTTGACATCACTCGCATCTAAATTCGGGAGATAATCGCAAATGTGTGTTTCAAATAACGTCTCTAAAAAGACCTGGTGGTAAGAAATCCCAGGTGTTTTAAGTGAATCGAGTACTCGCATTTTTGAACCAAATTTTTCCGGGTGGATGCTGAGAGTTTTTTAACAAGCAAGATAACCACCCTAACTAATTCATTTTCTTTGCTTCTTTACTGTGAATACGTTTAATTGAAAGCATTTGCGCTTTCCCCAACCCACTAAGGATTTTATAAACAAGACAGTTATAACTATTTTCTTGTCCTGTTTTAGATTCCGTCCATAATTCATTATGGCCTTTGTGGAATAGAAACTGTAACCTCGCGTATAGCACAATGGGAAGTTGCGTCAGCTCACAAGAGGCTGTCGTCATCTCTAACGAGACGATACAGCCGGACAAGTCAGAAAAGTCTGGCAAAAATGACAAACAGGACGATGGGTATGTACGTACTTTAGTTGCAACATTAGTAGTGATTTTAAACATCTAATATTCAAATCAATTTAGGCTAAAATATAGGCATGGTTAAATTTAAGTCAATCCAGCAGTTTACTCAAGAGGATGTGAGGAGCCCAGGGGATGTTTTTAGGAGCCTTACCATTTGCTCCCTCCCCCCCTCCCCTCGCCACTTATGGGAAAGTATTGGTTACCAGACCGGTTTGACGGTGCTGTGTTGACAGGTGACTGGACGTGGCTGTGGTTCAGTTGCCAAGGTGACTTCCTTGCTTCTGAAGGGATCTCTCCCCTCCTTCTTTACCATCTTGATGTTATCCACGAATTAATGTATTCTTTTTAAAGTTATCAAATGACCTTTTCTTCGTAATTTTGTGCGGTGTCGTTAACTTAACCCCACACTCCTAAACATCTACCTTCCTAACCACTTCGGCTTTTATCACCTATCCTACACCCACTTTTAACCACCTCAAGTTTATCGATTCTATCTTCTTTTTTCAGGGTCGTTATCAAAGCCAACACACCTTGTAAGTTTGCCTTGTTTGGTTTTCTCTATTATATATCTTCAATTCTAGATTCTAATTTACCGGAAAATCGTCCACTTTTATTAGTAGCGTTAATTAATTTGTCTGAATTTGCTTCCTTCATTTCAGGGCGTAACCTTGGTTATGAAGTCTACAAAGGACTTATGGGGGAAGAATTATTCAGAGAGAAAGTTGAGGAATTCGAAAAGGTGAAATTGTGTTATTCTTTTTGGAAGAGATTTCAGTCCATCCCATAAACCCTTAATTTCGTATTCACTGAAAAATGTCTAATGCCAAAAAAACTTCTACACCAACCCATATATTCTGCTATGCTCCTGTTATATTTATTTCCCTTATTGAAAACAGTCCTACAACACTGGTACCTCGCACAACCGAAAACTTAGTCTTACGGGTTTTCCTTCGTTTCACCTAGCCTCTTCCTCCACCTGGACTTTTCGCTCAAAGCAGAATTGCATATGATACTACCAAACTCAAGTTAGTCTTCGGCGCGATCGTTTTAGTTAAGAAACAACGAGCAACTCACCCAGTTGGAGTTGGATCTGAGGGGATTGCGACAATTGTCTCTAATCCACAATTTCCAGCGTGTGAGTTTTTTACTCCTGGAACTACGTACCCAGTCTGCCTCCGTCACTCTACTATCAAGTCCGTGGATGACGTACTGATTGACTTTTGCGGCGGGGCGTTAAGGTTTGCCGGAAGTGATGAAATGGATAGTCCGTGCGATCTCATTATGGGGACTGGACCGACAACACCATTATGGAGTTCTCAGGCCATATTTGATGCAGTAAGAGCCAATATCACAAAGGATTTGAAAACTTATTTGCTTCTCGGGCCTGATCAGTAAGTGGAAGAATTCTGAAATTTTCAATTCACCCCTTTTCCGAAGGGTTTTTGCAAGGTGTTTTTTTACGTGTACGGATTCCTGTTTTTTAAGAACTTGAAGAAAAGTATGTACCCCCATTGTAGAATTGTGACTTGAAGACTCCACTTTGGAATTTTTTTTATTCATCAACAAAGTCGACGATGGAATTCTTAAGTTTTCCTTTCTTACGTTTACAGTCTCAAAGCCAACATTGGAGGTCTACGCCAAAAGCCTGAATCCTTTTACGACCAGCGATATTACTCAGAAGTGATTTTCGACTTCAAAGCGTTCGATGAAGTGAAGCGTTACGTCAGATTCCGGCTGCTGCCCACTGATGGGCGACCAGAAACAGGCTTGTTGTCTGAGGAAGTCCAGTGGCAGCCATGGTGAGTTGGGAACGTCAAGTCTAACTGATATAGTGGTAAATGTAAATACCACGAGTTTGAGAAATCGAACCTTCGTAAAGTTGAATTTTACTTCGGGCAAAAAGATTTCATACAGTATATTTCCTGCAAATACGGGATGCAAATTTTCCAACTCCGGAATAAACAAAAGCTAGTACAAAAATTTCCACTGGATATTTTATTTCCTTACAGGATAAATGAAAGGTCACCCGATGAGACTTTACCAATGGACTACCTCAAGCGTGAGTACAAAGAGAGAGTTTCCAAGGGACCACTCGACTATAAACTACAGCTGCAACTCCATGAACCGAAGGAAAATGATCCTCCAACGATCCTTCAAGTTGGGAGGGAATGGGACGAGAAAACACATCCATGGCTTGATGTGGCTGACATCAAAATGACGTCACTATTATCCCCGACGGCAACGGAACGCCTGAAATTTATTCATAAAAATCTTCCTGCTTCAATTGGTGTTTTACCAGCCGTATCTGTTGACGATCCCAATGTCGTTGTCCAAATTCGTAATGACGTGTACGTTTGGTCTCAGAAGCTACGTAAAAACAGATCAAACAAGCTTGTCCCAGAGCACCTGACATCCTATCTTATCCGCGTGGAAACTGGAGGCCAGTCTGGAGCAGGAACGGACGCTTCCATTTCTATTACATTAACAGGTGACGTACCTAAACTCTTAAGGTGATTCCTCAGAAAAAGAAGTTATCCATCAATTTTTTTTTAACTTTCCTTAAATTTGTGAAAAAATCACGCAATTTTATACGACATCGACTCAAAACCTTCCTCGAATCGTTGCTTTCAAGGTCATAATTTGCATCATCGGGTAGCGGGATTTGTGTATGCATTTAGCAATTTTTTTTCCCTTCGATGTATTTTTTTTAATTTGTCCAATTTGAAGGGGATAATTTGCACACCAAGATTATGCAATAAAAAATATAGATCACTGTGCTCGTTCACGAGCTAAAGACCATCGTACCTCTCTACCTGGTCCATTTATTGAAAACAATGCCCTGTTTTCGGAATGCGCGCTTATTCGCCTGATTACGTAATTTTTATGCGTAGTACAGGATGCGCAATACTGAAGAATCACATTAAATGATTTTTGGTCTGATCGGTAAGCCATATATGGAGTCAAGATATCATTATACTGATATTTTATCGTTATTCAGGCACCAAAGGAAAGACAGATATGATTAAACTGGATAAATGGGGAAATGACTTTGAGAGAGGAGACGTTGATGA